TTTTTTTTAATTTAAAATTCTTTTTAATTCTTTTCTCTTCAAATTTTTTACTTACAAGTAATTTTTTGTAAAATATTTTATGTCTTATACTATCTTTATTTTTAAATTTATTGGAAAGTATGGAAATTGCGTGTTGCGGTGTTTTCTTACAGTATAAATATTTTTTAATTAAAATTGAAAAAATTAAATTTTTTCATAAAGAAAAAAGAATTAAAAAGTATTTTAAATCGAAAAAAAATATTTATAATTTGAATAAAACAAATAAAAAATAAATAAATGAGGAAAAAAATATAAAACAAAAAAGAAATCTCCATGCATCCTGCGCTAATGTAATGAACCACACGATTAGACTTTATCAAATATTTCGAATTTTCAACCAATTTTGAAAAATCTACAATTTTGACGTTATTAAAAATACAATAAATACAAAACTCGTACAATATACATGTCAAAGACTAGTATTATATAATCGATTATATAAATTTTTATGTATATATAGCGAGATCCTAATTGCTAATATCTTCACGGACGGTGTGAACACACGATTTCAAACATCGGCCAACGTTACCGCAAAGGAAAAATAATTAAATACCGTAGCAGAGTGTCGTCTGCTTCATCACTGATTCCATATTTTGATTGCGACCAGATAACGGATCGAACATTTATTGTGGAAATATCCTTTTTCTTAGAAAATCACTCAAAATTATATATTTATATTATCTTTCTGATGGGATTCACAGCAATTGAAGCTGAAAAGCGGCAGAAAGTGTGAGGATAATTTATTATTATAGATCCCTCTGATCCAATTTGGTGTAAGTGAGTAGAATTAGTCGAGAGTTTGAGTCTGGAATTCAAGGGATAAGTGGGATTGGATGGGGAATTCTGATTTACGAGTTGGACTTGAAGAGAGACAAGGATAGATTTGATGGTACTGTGAAGTGATTCAAGGAAAGCAACTGTTCAATTGTTTTAAGGTAAAAGATTGATTTCTACGTTTACTATTTTCTTGTTTTAGGGTTTGGTTGAATTGTACTTGAATTTTGTGAATTCAGAGTCCTGATTGCCTGTATTTTGTGATTTATTCATAATTATTATAATTTATGTCTCCCTCTTTATTTTTTTCTACCTTTTTAGAAAGTTTGGATTTATCATTTCTATAAATTTAAAAAAATGGAATAAATTAGAAAGTTCATCTTTTTAACATAAGTCTTCTCTTTTTATGCAGTGTTAATGTCTTCAAATTTCAATCACTCCGTTTGTTCTTTTTAGATCAATGTGAAAACTGAATTGTGGTGGGGATTAGTATGGAAACTACTTAATTTAGCTGAATATGGGAAGAATTTGTCTTCTCAATGAAAGAAACTGTTGAGAAAAAAATTAAGTTTTTTGAAGATATCTTTGTTGGCTTTATTGATTGAATGAAGTGCAGTCCATTCAACAGTTGAAACGCATTGAATAATTTTGTAAGCTTTCTTTATTGGCTTGGTGAAGTGATTGAAGTGCAGTCTACTCATTGGTTGAAAACAGGTTTAATGGATTATCTTATAACCACTCTGCATCCCAATTTTCCTTATAGAGCATTGAATTTAAGTGATCTCATTGAAGTTTGGTCTTTTTTGAATTTCCTTTTCAGGTTGAGCCGATTATTGGTTGTTTTTATATGTTATGTGGTAAGGTGCTTCATGTCAAATGATGTTCTGTACGAAATTGTTTAAAGGTTACTATAATTGTTTTGATGGCATTGATTGATTCATCACATTAGAACAATCATATGGTTTAGCTGTCTCATTGAAAGGAGAAGAAGTCATTATAAAGTGTGGGGATGGTCCATGATGGTAACAACTTTGAGAATGCATTTATCACGAGTTAAATGATTTTGTTAAGGTTCATTTCTACATAATGCTCAGGGATCACGTGATAGATTCACTTTCATATGCCTAGTTTCTTAAAAATACTTGTTCTACAACTATATGTTGCATTTGAGATCAAATAGGAATTTGATCCGTTTGTAATCGTTTCAGTAGTATGGCAACTCCTGTTGAGCCTCCGAATGGGGTTGGAACTCCAGGTAAGCACTACTATTTAATGTGGCAAACACTGTTTGAGATTGATACAAAGTATGTGCCAATCAAGCCTATTGGTCGAGGGGCATATGGTATTGTCTGCTCATCTGTCAACCGGGAAACCAATGAGAAGGTTGCAATCAAGAAGATACATAATGCCTTTGAAAATCGTATTGATGCACTAAGAACTCTGCGTGAATTGAAGCTTCTCCGCCATCTTCGACATGAAAATGTCATAGCCCTGAAGGATGTCATGCTGCCTAATCATAAGAGAAGTTTCAAGGATGTCTACTTGGTTTATGAGCTTATGGATACTGATTTGCATCAGATAATTAAGTCCTCTCAAGCTCTATCAAATGATCATTGTCAGTATTTCCTATTTCAGGTGCCTAGAATGTTCATTCCCTTTTAACTTCTGCTCTAACATGTATTGTTACGACGGCGAGGAACTTCTGCAGCAAAAANAAAAATTGAAAATAAAGAAAATAGAAGAACTAAAATTTTTACTTTAAGGATTTGATAGTGGAGATATGGGTAATGGATTTTTGGATACAGTATGAGCATGCTTCATAAGATTATGTTACACTCATATTTAATTTTTTCTTCTGGCCGTCTTATGCTCTGTAGACAAACCTTTCGCCTATTGCGGCAATCAAACTCAGTAGTAAAACATTACTAATAACTATTTTTCTATATAGTATGACATAAAACTATTTATGACGTTCAGGCCTCACAACTTATGTCAAACTGCCTAGTAATTTTGATTTAACTACAGTATTTTTTAGTTTCCATTTAAAATTATGATGGATCGCAGTTGACAATGGAATTTGAGTACTATTTTGCTAACTATTTTAACTATCATGGATTTTGAAATATTAGTTCCACTTGCATGTTTTGAATTTGATTGCATTCTTGTGGAGTAATTTCTATTTTAAAATCTCTACTACGCTTCCCCTTATGCTTGCAGATCTCTTAGCTTACTTGTATCTTTTAATGCAGTTACTTAGAGGTCTGAAGTATCTACACTCAGCAAGTATTCTTCATCGGGATTTGAAGCCTGGGAACCTACTTATCAATGCGAACTGTGATCTAAAAATATGTGATTTTGGGCTTGCACGTACAAGCAGTAGGCAGGGCCAATTCATGACTGAATATGTGGTCACCCGTTGGTATCGGGCGCCAGAGCTCCTTCTCTGCTGTGACAATTATGGCACTTCCATTGACGTGTGGTCTGTTGGTTGCATTTTTGCCGAACTTCTTGGTCGGAAACCCATTTTTCCAGGTACAGAGTGTCTTAACCAGCTTAAACTGATCATCAACATCCTTGGTAGCCAGAGGGAAAATGATCTCGAGTTTATTGATAACCCAAAGGCGAGAAAGTACATTAAGTCACTTCCTTACTCTCTGGGAACCCCATTTTCCCGCCTTTATCCAAATGCCCATCCTCTGGCGCTCGATCTGTTACAGAAGATGCTCATCTTCGACCCTTCAAAGAGGATAAGTGTAACCGAAGCACTTCAACATCCATACATGTCTCCACTTTATGATCCGAGATGTGACCCTCCGGTTAATGTCCCGATCAATCTCGACATAGACGAGGATTTAGGCGAAGATATGATTCGCGAAATGATGTGGATGGAAATACTTCATTACCACCCAGAAGCTGCTGCCGCCAACATGGAGGTAAACACGTAATGTTTAGTTTCTCCGTTACTGGTGAAATGACCTTTGTGCTTGTAACATCAGAACTCTGTAATTATCTTTGCTTGTCTTTTTTTTATTTCAGTAATCTTGGAAAACAATACATTAGCAGTTTGGGCTGTTAATGCACTTACTATTATCTGTTTAAGAAGTTATTTCACTGCTTGAACTTTTTATGACAAGTTTTTTCTCTTTTTTACTCTCGAGTCTTTTCTCCATACGTAATTAATGATTGTTGTTGGACCCCGTGAAGCAGAATCATATCGTTCACCTATCCCCTCGACACGGCTTAATATTCTTTGCCATATAAAAGAATTTTGGAGGCCTGCTCCTGGGACTTGGGAGTGCGAGAGGAATAAGATTTCAGGTTGTTTGATTTGGTTGCGTTTCTTCACATTGTCTCGTGTCAATTCAATTAAGCTTCTTTTAGGTCATTTTAGCTCAAATTGGAATATGAATAAATCTCACATTAGTAAAATGCCGAAATATAGATAATATATAAGGACTTGAGCTGCTACTCTTAATCAGGTTGACCTTCT